ACATCTTAAGCATTTTGTTTTTGGCGACACTACGGGACCCGCGAAAATTTCCCGCGTCCACTGCCGTTGCCGTCCTGGCCTTCCCGTCCTCGTATCTTAAGGTCCCTAATAACTGGTTTCGCAGGATGGAGAGGATTCGCTAGCTGTCTGTTTGTTAAATAAATAAAAAAGAAAAAAAAAAAAAGAGTTGTTGATATTGATTCCGATCCGGAAGGATGCATCACTGACACGTACCTGAGAACGTTCCTTGGGACCCGTCTGACTGTTGTCCAGCGAGACCATTTGAAGTGGTGCTAAATGCGTGGCCTTCATCATGTCCACCCGGGGCCCACTCAAGCCCATTGGATCACTGAAGGTCAAAAACGCACCCGGGTACGATAGAGACAGGGAATGCGCCGAAAACGGTTGGTTAGGGACCGAGCTAGGCAACAGCTTTTGGGTCTGCACTGGCTGCGAACCTAACTGTGCTTTGTCATGGCTGAAGGCGGAATTCTGACCCACTAAGCGATGACTATCATCTTGCTGTTGAATGAGTTGTAAGAGTACATGCTGCTGGCTGGCTGTTTGCTGCGGCTGCGGTGAGAAGGAAGGCGATGAAAACCCCTGGGTTGTGGGTGAAGGTTGAGGGAGGATAATCTTATGCTGATGTTGAAAGCGCGCCTGTAATGGTTGTTGTTGCTGCAGTTGTGGTTGTTGTTGTGTTGTTTTGGAGGCGGGCTGAGCCGGTACTATAACTTGGGCTAAAGCGTTCACAGGCGTTTGCTTCTGTTGTTTGTCTTTGTCAAGTTGAGCTGTAAGCGTCTGTTGAGGTAAGGTTGTCTTCGGCGACTGCACAAGCAAGCTGTTAACTTTCATAGGCTGTTTCTGAAACGCAGAAGACGACGAAAACACAGTATTTAAATTCGTCTCCGGTCGTTTGTTTTGCAGTTCCTTAGCCTTGCCGCTCTTGGCATCCCCGTTTGGAATCCTTCGCTCACCAGCGACGCTACTCGCTGGTTTAACGCTAGAGCTCAGCATGACCTTCCCCTCTGATGTGCTCGGGGAGACATCTATTTTTGGCGCCCCATCTGAACCGGCACTTACGGACCCTCGTGGGCCACCACCGCTCACCGTAGTTTTGGTCTCGGTCGATAAGGAGCCTTGCGAGGAGGCCGTTACACCGCCGGGGGTATTCAAAGTCGATTGCTTGGTGGAGACCGGTGTGGCTGTAGAACTGGTACTCGTACAGGACATGGGAGTGGCCAGTCGAGCATTCACCTGTAGTAACTGGTTTTTCCTGGTTGTCAGGGTAGCCAGACGTTCCTCCAGACGCGAATTGTCGGCTTTTAGTTGATGCAAGCTGGACATTAGTGAAGCAACTACAACGGAGAAGACATAAAAAATGTTCAACACAATTCCCAAGCTGCCACTTCTCAACTCTGGTTTCCCAAGCATAGAGCGACTACTACTTTCCCCCAGCCCCCCTTGGCCTAAGGGGTGGACCATTTGAATCTTCCTGTGGGGTGTGGTGCATATAAATGCCTTTTGTTTTGGTACAAGTATGCTTGGCAATAAAGTTGACAGTTACTTGTGATAATACATTCTTCGTGGCTAGTCTTACGCAGCTCGTTTCGTCCCGGCCAAGGGACTCATCAGAGACCTTTCTGCTTGGCA